GCTCTTCCTAATTTGTGACAGTTAACCCTTCATTTTTTCCAAAATTGAAGGGACTCTTGTAAAATTCACACGGAATTCAATAAAAATAAAGGAGGCCATAAATGCTTTTAACTCATAAAATACACGTGGCTTTCTGTGTCTCCTGTACTTGTGACTTTTTCCTTTCATTTGAAAAGTTCAGATTCTAACATTAGAGAGACAGTTATCTTGAACTACTATTACTATTAATAATAATAACAATAAATAATTCCTTATGCCCATTTATTTCATATATCATAAGAAAAATACAGCAATCCAAGCTCAATCACAGCCCAACACTTCTGGCTAGAATATGTGGCAAGTGAAGCGCAGCATGCTGCATGCTCCGGGACCTAGAGCCGACTCTGCCTTCCCTTTTCCAATTAGCTATTTTTCCTCAGGGTGTAGCCTACATTCACCCATAAAAATCACATAGTACTATTTTAATCATCTACCTGCCTGAAAATACCTGATTTTTGCACGCTCAACACGCCAGGCAGAACTTCAGAGACAATATTTGAAAATTTCTCTTCAGAGAACGCCAATTTGTGACAGACCATGCTCTACCGCTACTCCCGAAGCACACCGACACGATATTAAAAGCAGTCACGTGAATCCCTCTCACAGAAATTAACCGTAAAACCATATAATAACTGGACGTGTACGAAACACTCTACTCTGAGCTACAACCACGTGGTCAGCAGGTGAGACCTGCAACTAACTCACTTGAGCGCCTTAAGAGGAGCAAACTTCACGTGAACTTTGTCTCTCTTCTGTGACATCCAGCTTGAGAGTGAACTTCTGCGGGTGAGACAACCGTCTTCCTCGTTCTGACAGATACGCCATGTATTTAGGTCTGACCACAGAAGAATGAGACAATTTCAGGGATAACATTGCTATTAAATAGTAAGGAAAGCCCTGACGCACTGCTAATATATGACCTTTGAAAAAACACACCCCTGCCACAAAAAAAAAAAAATAGCACACATGCTATTAGCTACAGATATGTAAAGCCTATTGTCATCTACAAAGTAATTCATTATTCTGTAGATTCATATATCATCTGTAATATTGCTTATATAAAAAGTTTGTAGAGTCTACCTTAACGTTTAGCTGCATTAAAATTATAGGACCTCATTCCTGGCCGTGACACAAGCAGCTTTAAACTATTATTTTTTGTGTGAAACAGCTGTGTGCTTGGCAAAGCCGGCCTTTAAGGACGGCTCGTTGTAGAAAAGAATTTCCAGCAGGCAGAGAGCAACATATTGGCTTTTCAACACCAGTTACTAACCCGGCTTGTCAGGAGCAGAGACACCACATGGCCAGAAAACATTTTACATTGGACAGAAAAAAGCTGGAAGTAAATGGAAGTACAAAGCTGGGGCTGAGTGCAAGGCTAAAGAAGCTCCAAGAAATAATTTCACACCCTTTCATTCCTATCCATCACCAAGTAAATTCGGGGAGGATTGAAGTATTTGCACCAAGCTCTATTTTCAAATAACCTACACCAATCTTTTCACTTGGACATTTGTAAAAGGGAAAAGTAAATAAGTGTGAAAAATAATGACATCAGGCAGGAAAAGTTGAGCTTTTGAGTTTCTCATTTGCTGATTGTAGACTCTGTTCTTCACACTTTTTTTTACATTAGTTTTATCTGAGTGTTATTTTGGTGATATATTTAAGCAGTGACAAGCGTGTCAAGCAGACTTGGACAGTTCCATTATTTTAGTGGTTATACACGTATTAAAAAAAAAAAAAAAATTGTTTCCTTATACTGAAGCTCCAAGAGAAGAGAAAGATTGCTTTCACTTCCTTGCCAACTGTTTCTTACGGTTAATGCACAGATACTCTGCTTCATTACGGCTGTCTCTCTTGACTGCAGACCGGACGGCATACTTCCCATTAATTATTTCATTTTTTAAAACGGAATAAAATACACATTCTAGGATTCGCTGATTTGTAAGTCTACAAGCACTCTGAAATAGGTCTCCTAAACCACTTTAATTTCATGAGTACCATTTAGTTTATTTTGCAATGGCTGTTGTCCC